TCACTTTTTTGAAAGAATTCTGTTCATTTTTCTCGTCAGATTTACAGTTTTTGTTGGCTAGTTAACTTTAATGTTGTTAAAAAAAAAAAAAAAGAAAAGAAAAAGAACTTTTGAAAGACGCTTCAACAATGTTGAAAAAATGATTAGATTACTCATGATATAATACGTATAATACAAGTGTGATGTTTATTAATTTTTATTTATGATCTTTTTGTTTTGCTTTTTAAGATATATTCGTTTTATCGTACTTTCATAAAAAACGATTCTGATATCTTCGAATCGCAAGCAAGGGTTCAAATATTCGTGAATCTTTTCCAATTTATTATCATCAGACTCTCTTTCTAATTTCTAATTAATATTGCAGAGAGATTCAGTTGAATATTTTTCACCGTTTGGGTATCCACCGTATATACATACATCTTTTCTTTATCATCAAGGAGAAAAACGTAATATTCACCGAATGTATTTTAGGGAACATTTCATTTCTAATTTCCTTTTATTCGAAGTAAATTAGAGAGACTCGCAAGGTGATGATTCATCACTGATGAAATTATTTTAGCAGTATCCAAGTCAACGTCTAATGTAGATTGAGTACATTTCGCGATTAATAATCGATTGTGACGTCACAACACGGGTTGTTTTTTTATAGACCATGAAATATATTTTATATTACTCAAGTATATTTATAATATACCTGACATTTTTATGAGTTCTACACGAAAACAAAGACTCGTTTTTATACCATGCATTTACCTTTTTCTTTTCATAAATTTTTCGTTTATCTTAACGTTTAATGCCAACCACACAACACGCACACACACAAAAAAAAAATTTCAATTATATACGTATTTATTTTAGCGTTATTTAGTGCGCTTCTCTCTCTTGCGATAATAATAATAAAATACTAATAATAATAACAACAATAATAATCATCATCATCATCATCATCATCATCATTATCATCGTCAATTTTTTCTTTTCTTTATAATTTTCAAATTCATTTGTAGAATAATAATTGACTTTAACAGAGCGATTGGTACTTGGAAATGTTTTCGTCTTCCAAGTATCAAGTACCATTAAATTTAACAATCTAGCAAATATGACGTAAGTTTGTTTAAACAATTTACTTTTCATAAACTCCACTCTATTGTATGTACGATCATTACAACACGCTTTCCAAGAGAAGCATAGATATATTCTTCTTATAATATTCATATATAAACGATATCTATATAAATAAATGTATTTAAAATTTTTGAAACACATAAAAACACAACAGATACGTAAAGTTTTCTTTTTCCATACTTATTTTTTATTTAATCTTTTTTAATTCTTAAAAATGGACCGATCAAATTAATCTCTTCTTTCTTTTAAATATCTTTTCTCTTTCATCGTTTTACGATAGACTATATAATATAAAAAACATTTTCTATACTAATCGGACAAGTAAACGTACGTAGTGAAAGAAAAAAATAAACAAAAAGACTGTAACGATTTTGTATTTTACAAATCGAGAAAGGATACGTCGTAGCACGGCTATTTTATCACCATATGTAACGCATTGTTAGAAGTGCACTTTCAGGATAATAATATGTTAGATATACGTTTTTACTTATTTACAAAATTTTTCTCATATGCTTTTTTCTGTATTTTTCTTTTTTTTCTTTTTCTTTTCTCTTTCATCGTTTTTTTGTTTCTCGTAATATTTATTATATTCCTATAAAGCGGATGTCATCCTCAACGTAAAAGACAGATAAGTACGAGTATTCCGTATATATATATACCTTTTTTTCTTTTTAGTAAATATACCTTATACTTACGTAAGTGTATCTCCTTGTGCGAATTATAGTATATCGTATGACCTTTAAATAGTTATATAACCCACTTTTTGAGGCAATTTTTTTGAAACTTTCGTAACAATAAGATGAACGTGTAGTGAGAAAAAGGTCGAAACGTGAAAGTGGAATTCGCATTTCAGCCTTTCGTCTTTTTTACGATTTGCATAATTAGTGCTATCATAGTTAGTACATGTGCACGAACTATAACATCTCTTGAAATCTAAACAGTAAATCTTTTTTCTTTGTTAACTATTCAGCATTAACCATAAAAGTTAACACTGTTGTTCATTCCCTCTTTTTCTTTAATGACTTACCAGTGAACACACTAACGTAACAGTGATATCACACCTAGAGAACATGTAACATAACAAATGTAATGTAAATTTTACATTCTTGTGATACAAATTTTTATGTAAATGGAACATCAAATTTGTGACATAAATATGACATTAAAATGACATACATGTTTCTTACCGAGTGACATCACTTTAGTAACCTTAGTGTGATGTTATATTTATATGCCATAGTTACGTTAGCTTTACATTCTTGATATGACGTCACTATTACATACTAAAGTTAACTTATAAATAACATAACCGATGTGACTCTGTTTTATCATCACATTTACATCACAATGTAATGTTTCAGTTCTGTTCATATTGTTACAGAACACCTATATAAAATAGTTATATATTTTCTTGCTTTGAAATTTTATGTCAAATTTATGTTAAAAAAGTAACTTTGAAATTATATAATGCGTTGCAACTGCATTGCTTTATACTGCATTTTGCATAATGCATCAATTTTTGAATAGGAATATTTTTTTACAGAATTAAATTCCTTATAAGTATATATTTTCAGTGCATTAAATAAATATGTCTAATGGTTAGTGTACCACCGGTGGTATACATGGCACGGAACATGTTAATTATAATTTATATTATTAATTTATGTTATATTTTATTATTTAATATTATTTATTAATTATAATTATTAATATATATATTAATTATAATTAATAATATTATTTATTACATATGTATTAATAATATAATATAAATAAATACAAGTTCGCATGGCTCAGTGAGGCAACACACCATCCAGAAATGTCCAGCTAGTAAATCGTATGTTCCCGAGTTAAAAAAAGGGCCCTTCGAAAAAAAAAATAAAATAAAAAAAAAAACAATTACGTAACCTCAACAACGAATTTCGATTTTTTAATTTATATTTGACGTAATTATGATATTCGAATTATATCACTGCTATATCACCAATGTAATATGTATGTGACATTAACATCACATTTATGTTCATTATGTTAAGTCACATTGTTACGTATGTGAGTGTGAAATTGTGCGTCACATGTGATTCACATGTGACCCGTATGTTATTTTACGGTTTACGTAACCAACAAATTTTGGTTCTGTAAATGTGACGTCTCGGTTACATTGATGTGTTCACTGGGTTTTCATGTTCTTATTTACACGACAACTAAACGCTTATTTGTGTATTTTATCTTATTCGATCCAATAAATTGACATAATTCCTCGTATACACGCGAAGTAGTTTAATTTAACTCTACGATTATGATTTTCGAAAATGACAAAAAGAGTCGTGTAAATTTTAATAATCTTGACTTTTCGCGTCGATCGATCGATTAATCCTTTCCGTAGAAAATCACGTACGTATGTATGCGCAGTATACATGCACACGTATTTTCCATTAATCGTGCTGAACGCACTTGTAAGATTAATTTACGTATATTCACGTTAACAGTAGGCACAATAATAATAATAATAAAAATTACAATAATAGTAACAGTAATAATAATAATAAAAATGATGATGACGATGCAAATTATAAGTATATACAGTCGCAATTCTTCTTCGATTGAAAATTCTTTGTTTCAAAGATATAGGTACTTATCTACCTATGTATCTATCGAAATAGAGATTATTTCAAGAACATATTTCTTGCATTTCACTTGAGAAGGCTTTGTTTTAAAAGCAGTTTGATGGTAATTGACTCGAAATAACGAGAGAAAATCGAATAAAGATCGCTTCTCGTTTGCGATGTAATATTTTTTTTGTTGAATCAATTCTTCAACGTATTAGTGAATATAAAATAAATTACGTATAACATTGTTTATTTTTTGAACTCTAAAAGATAAAAAAATAAAAGAATCGTCGTTTGCTCTTTATTTTACTTAACTTTGGATGTATAATTTAAAAAATTCAGAAAAAATGATTTTTGAAAATTTTTAATAAAATTCGTTATTGCAATAAATTGTATTAAATTTTTATCAAATTGTATCTACTTTTCATGATTACGAGTTAGTCTTGGCAAACAATCTAAATATAGCTGTGAGCAGTTGAGTAACAGATGGATGTTTGCTTTGTATAGTTACGGCATTGACTCATTTCCATGTAAATGCATGGACTAATTAAGTTTTGTTATAAAAAAAGAGCATAATCACTTCTTTAGTGCTTAGAGTTCCTCGATTCAATAAATATAACATTCTATTCGTTGATAAATCAATGACGAGCATTTTTTAACGGAATTTTATCTTTCATTGAAAGTATATCGTCATTGCGTATGCTTGATTGATGTTAGTAAATAATAATAATAATAATAATAATAATAATAATAATAATAATAATAATAATAATAATAATAATAATAAT